GTTTGAACTAACACCTATTTTAAGTAAGCTGCTAGCCTAGTATGTGCTTGTTTGCTATCAGTTGTATTTTGTATCTACTCACAAGTTGGCATGAACAAAAATACAGAGGCATACAGTACATTTTACAAGATCAATCACAGACAGATACAGGTCCTGGATTAGGGCTGCAACCATCAATTATTTTCAGTATTGGTAATTGATTTGTTTTTTGATTAATTAATGAGCTGTTTAGTGTCAGAAAATGCTCATCACAATGTCCCAAAGCTCCAGGTGAGATCTTCAAGTTGCTGGTTTGGTCAAAAAGCAATCCAACTTTAAATAGAACATGGGTTCTATTTAACCTCAGAGAAAAGCAGAAAAACATTTGAGAACCTTGAGCAAATTACTATAAATCGTCAAAACTGTTCATTTTCTGTCAGTCATTGGATTAAACAACTAATTACTTCAGCAAAGATCTGATCTTTATGAAGCAGATGCTCAAGTGGTCTTTTAAAGTTATATAGTATTCCTTAAAGTATATATAGTAATCATAGTTCATCTGCTGCTGGGTACTCCCTTTACAAAAACACCAGTACAGTGAGCACCAAACAAAATTATATCCTCATCTTTTATACCACAAAACTACCAGTCATGATTCTTTTTCACTGCATATTTTATGTTCTTTGGTTATCTATTTGTATTTCAAATTAATTTTACCTTTTCAGAGGAGGGTGAGAAACTCTTTCCTGAAGTAGCGCTGCCAGCAGAGGTCTTGTCTTGCAGTTTATTTGTCACACTGACAGATGACTTTCATACCCTGATAGTCAGCGGCAGGCCCACCCCTCTCCAGCGTCAGATCACTCCTCCACTTTGTCGTCTTTGCTGCAAAAACTGCTGGGAAAGATTTTTATTTTGGGTCATTTCGTTCAAAGTCACAGTGAAGCCCACCTCTGTTTATAAACTCAGGTTTGAGATTATAGCAGTCAGAGGAAGTTAATATTTAGTCTGACCTCACTGATAAAAATATGCTGGACAAAATATTATAAAACACATCTCAGTACAATTCAATGAAATCTGACAGCACTGCAAACTTCAGCCTCTAAAAGATCCATAAAGTTGAATCAACACCTCTTTAAAAAAAACGAACAAGTGACATGTTCATAAAACATTACTTTATTAATACATAAAGAGGTGTTCTTGGGAAGGCCTTACCGTGTTCTCATCATTCACTACCACCAGGTGTCTGAGACCCAGCGCTCTGAACAACTTAAACACACAAGGCAGAGATGTTTCCTGCAGAAGACAAAAACAGAACATTAAAATCTGGATTTTTTGCAAGGCTGTTGAATATGACTACTTTTAGTAAGTTTACCTAATAAACTGTCAACTGAGTGTATACCTAAAGGCATATCTGATGTTTGTATACACACATATACAGTATACACAGATGCCCACATCATGTTAGCATGTTTTAATTTTGACTTGTATTTTCTTTCAACATTAAATATTTTCTTTTCCTTTTTCGGAATAAATCTGTGTCACCCGTGGCCTTGGTGCTGTCATGTCAAGTATCTATTTGTGTACTTGGTCCTAATTGGACACCACCCTCCAGGAAGCCAATAATTGGAAGTCAGGTGACGTAGTATAAAGAGCGACAAAGTCCACAGCAGGAGGAGGTCGTGGCAGATGATTTCACCCAGCAGCAACTACGTGGTTAACGTTGTAAAATAGTAAAACTATGATCTTTTCCTACATCTAATCTAAGTAGTTTTGGTGCTGAAAATAATAAGTCAACTACATCTAAAAATAATAAGTTAAAATAGGCCTAACACAGGACATAAACCTTGGTCTTCCGAGGGAAAGCCCTGTGTTTGACCCATTCAACCACCATGTCCTCCTCCCCTCAGACTTTGTCGCTTTTTATACTACATCACCTGATTTCCTTAAGCTTTTCTGGCAGAACGGTCTGAAGACTGACTTGCGTACACTGTCGATTAGATAGGGCGCAATGTCCAATTTGGGTGGTGTGCAATTTTGGTGGGATTTGGAATGAAATGGCTCTCCATACATATCAGCCTTTCTACTTTTAGAGGTACAAGTCAAATTTGGTTTGTGTTTTTGGTATGGTCTTTTGGCTTTGGTTTTGTAAAGACAAAAGTGTTTATCAATCTCCAGAACACACTAATAAGGACTTTTATGGACACTGTGCTCTCAGCCACAATACAATAAAATTATGACCAATAGGGATTATTCTAAAGAAGAGATCATTTTATATAAAGTGTGATACACAATAGTTTGTATCATTTGGTTCTGAGAATAGCACTAACGTGTTTCTCTCCATAAGTACCAACTCCATTGTACAAATCCATCATTTTAAAATGGCTAACGACAGTAAAAACTGATTTAAAATTGTTTCCTTGCCCTACCAATCACCCCTGCCAGTGTCAGCAGTGGGTCTTTCTCCTGTCCTAAAGCAAGCAGTGCTATAAACCCATTATATTCACATTGCTTTATTGAAATATAAATCAGCAGCAGTAATGGTCCCCAGTGGATTGAGTGGCATCTATAAAATGTGTGCTTGAACAAGGTAGTCATGGATGGTGTCATAAAGAGTGTCTCAGTGTAAGGAGCCCCCTAAGGTTAAACCATTTTTACTCAAACGGGGAAAAACCTGATAAAATGCTCAGCTGGTGCCAGCCAAGGAGCTGCTGTGCTGAGGTATTATCTTCATAACAGGAAGTCAGTAGCTCAACCCTCAACTGAACACAGGTTGTCACAGCAGTATAAACTCTAAACAAAATTCTATCCAATAATCCACACAAGGGCATTTTTCAGAAGTATGAGTACTTTTGGTCCTTGAATGATATTGAATGATATTGAATTCCATTTAGCTGCTTCAGTTTCTGAGTCCTGGTATTGTGAATGCTGGTTCACTGTTACTGTAACACTTGAACAGAACAGAGCCATCGTTAACGTTATTAGTAACACCGACCTGTTACCTCTGCTTGAACAGAGAGCTGTCCAAGGGTTTTCCTATATATAACTATAGTGAATGATAAAATTGTTATTGTTGAGGGGGAAATTTATACCTTAAACTATTCCGCATGTCTTCAGCAAAGTTGTAAACGCATAACAAAGCTACCTCACTTCACCTTGCTGGTTATACCATAACAGTCCATTATCTAGCATTTTAACAGTGGTAGTAGATGGATTAGTATACTTTCTGCTGTCTATAATACCATATGGAGGGTCATTCCTCTGTCCTTTGCATAGATTTTCTAGTTCTGGTATCTACTGCAATTGTATCTACAGCAGTCAGCCAGTAAGCTTAACTTAGTTTAGCACAGACACTGGAAACATGGGAGAAATGGTTGGCATTGCTTTGTCCAATAGTAACAAAATCTGCCTGCCAGCACTTCTAAAGTTTCAGCTTTGTACTAATTAAACAACCAAGATACAACACGTTATTTAATGAGCTTTAGAGGTGCTGGGGATTTTGTTATCTTTAGACAGAACCAGGCTAACCATTTCCCTATTCAAGTCTTTATGTTAAACTAAGCTACATGGTTGTGGTTTTATATTTACAGTACAGACATGAGAGAGTGGTATTGTTTTTTTAATATAACTCTCCAACAGTTATGAATGAAATAATACTATTACAGCAAGATGAAGCTCAGAGACAAGATAGAAGCATGGCCCTACTTTTTTAATTGGACTCTTCAGCTGCAGTTTTTAATTTGTCATGATTGCATCATGAAAATTATATTTGCAAATACATGCTGAGAAACTATTGTTATCCAGTGTGACATTGCTGACATGGAAATAAACTTTCCATGTGAAGATTACCTTCGACATGCACTGCCTCATATACACATATTATATATGTATTTTATGAAAAATGGCCCAGTCGCCATCTTTTTCTTCCCAAACCCTTGACACCAAATTTGACAAAATGTATGCCCTTAAACCAAAATAACAGTGTTTCAAATCACTACACCATTGTTAATATATTCCACACATTTCCCTGAACTTTTAATACAAACCAACTTAGTCAATTTGTGTTTTTCAAACAGGCCATCAAATATTCTTCTTCTTCTTCTGTTAAGTTCTCCAACAAGGTCTGTTTTTTTTTTACCTGCAACCAATGTACATGTTAATCCAAAAAGTTTTTTTCAGTAATTTAGCTGCATTTAAGTCAAACATCTGCCACTGCCACAAATAACCAATATTAGCTCAAATTCATGCGTAATTCTTGATGGCAATAAAATTATTTGGAAGCTGTGGACAAGTCATTTTTTCTGGCCTTCTTCTGACATCTAGTGGAGACTGAGAGCAGTGATATAAGGGACGTGGAGGTGCATATGTGCCTCTGAAATTATTTATTGTGCTCTTACATTTCTTTTGTTTTAATGTTGTAAGTTATTTTGGGTTGATGCTGCACAAGTGATCGGATTCATTCGTGGCAGCAAAACTTTGCCATTAAACCAGCTTCAGCTGCTTGAAACGATTCGTAACATTGTTCCTCCTCTGGGAATAACAGTATCTTTTCCAGCCAGGTGTGAAAGCTTTTATTTGTCATACTTAATTGTCATGAACTTATTTGTATTATCAGTATAACATACTACAAATGATTCATCTCCGCTGTGGGCTGCCAGTGCTTGTAAGATTACATTTCGTTATTGCCTCTGCTGCATTAGTTTACAGCTCCCAGAATACTATCTACTGAGAAATATCTTTTGATAGTAAATGTGTTGAATGAAACAGTGTCCAGTAACTGAAAGGCCACAGATTCGATTCTGGCAAAAAAAAAATCCTTTAAAGGAAGATAGGTCAGCTCTCTGAGGAGAGTTCTTCCTTGAAGTTCTGATGCTGCCCAGAGTTTTATGACTTTTTTGTTCACTCTGAAGGATGACCCATGTAAATATGAGTGTTTATCGATACCACATCACAGGAAACCTTTACATACTGTGTTATTCTTTTGCAAAAGTGTATATGTCTTCCGATCAAACAGACAAATAACATAATAGATAAATTTCAACTTTATTAATTCCCAAAAGGCTTATCAAGTGGTTATAAAATAGAGCATTATCTATAATTTAACATCTAGAACTGTACAACAAAACAAAGACCACAAAGGAGCCAAATCAAAGAGTAAAACCAATATAGTGTACAAAGAACGAACACTGATATTTGAAGAAATGTTAGATTTACATATTGGCAAAATAAAATAATTTGAGAATCTGTGTTTTGTGTGGTACCCCACGCAGGAATAAACTGATTAGTTTAAACTGAACGTACATGGTAAATATCGGTTTACATTCATATAGAGCTTCAGGAGGGACACTTGCGGGTATTTCTCAACAAAAGGAGACTTTTTCTCAGTAGTAGGTCAAAGTGCAAACATTTGGTGTTCGTACAATTTGGTGTAAGTCCATATATTACAGACAGAAGTACAAATATATGCTCAGTAAAGCTGACAGTAATAACAGATGTCTCTTGCTAAAATGGCCTCATGCCTCTTACAGCCAAGAAAGACAAGATATAAAATAATCAGGCGGCCCATTAAGGCTCCTCTCCTTTCTTCAAAATCCACTTCTTCACACGGTCTTAAATTATGGGATTTGTGAAACCCAAACCACACACTTAAAATTAAAACAAGTGTTCAACAATAAATAACTGCATTTGCTCAGTGCAAAAATACACAATACTGGAAAATACCTAAAGACCTTAAATAGTCAGTGAAGTCGTTAAAACTACAGACAGACTTTTGAACATGAACACTCACTCAAAAAAGCTTTTCAAAGCAAACCACTTTAAATGTCGCGTTTAGGTCAAAGAGACAAAAGCATCCATCCGAATTATTTAAAAACATAATAAATCAATGTTATAACTGATTAATAATGTATCACTGCATTACCACAACATTATTTCATAAGGGAAGTAACATTTGTTCTAGTAACAGTTTGAGGAGGCAGAATAATAAGAACAGAGAGACCTGCATGGATGTTTCTGTGAACAAAACAAAGCAGAGGGTTTTCCCATTTAACACGCATCAAACCGATTCTTTTCACCTGGCTTTCCTCTTTCCCAACTCACAAAGATCCTGTCATTTTGACTTTATTTGACCCCATTCAGAAAATATCTTGAGTTGGGTCTGTAAAACACAGAAACATGTTTTCTTTTCCTTCTTTTTTGTCCATTATTTTAGTATTTGCAGACAATGAAAAGAAAAAAACTAAGGAAACAGAGCAAATCCCTGTGCTACCATATTTGATGCCCCAGGAAAGCAGCTGTAAAACAAAAGCTTAAGTCTAAAACTTTTACTGATTATTTAGTGAATTTGTGCATTAGGGGTCATTTACTCAAATGTTCTTTGTTAATGACCCAGGCCTGTATATGGGGGTTCCTTATGTTGTTGTTGGCACCAAAAAATATCAGCGACCTCTTGGCCCTGGATGGCGTCCTGCACAGGGCTGCATAGCTGCTGGTAAACAGCTTCCGAGGCATCGGGTGGTCATAGTTTATGGATGTGTGTGTGTGTGTGTACACTATGTCTGAGCCAGCTGAAGTTCCTCCAGTCCGTGTTTACCCAGGTGATACCTGGCCAAGTCTTTCCTGGTCACCAGTCCAACCACCTGCAGAGGGTCACAAACCAAGAATGGGACATCAGAAGAATCACTGTCATCCTGGCATTCAGCTACAAGAGCACGCTCATAAAACATTACTTTATTAATAAGAGGTGTTCTTGGGAAGGCCTTACCTTGTTCTCATCATTCACTACCACCAGGTGTCTGAGACCCAGCGCTCTGAACAGCTTAAACACACGAGGCAGAGATGTTTCCTGCAAAAGACAAAAGCCTCATATAAGTTCAACTTCGTTCATTTTTACAAAACTTTTTTTTTTTTTTTTTTTTCCCACAAACCTCTCAAAAGGCTTTTACACAGAGAAATAGAGAGTCCTCTCTTTATAGAGAACACAAAGAACATTAAAACAAAGAAAGATTTGAGCCGTATTGAGGACGTATATTTAAATAATATTCAACATAGCATCTGTGTGTGTGTGTGTGTGTGTGTTAGTTACCTGTGGTACAGTGTAAGGCGTTGCGTTCATGAATTCAGTGAGGTCCATCATACACTCCCTCTCGTCCTGTGAGACGTGGATGCTCTGGATCGGGGGGAAGCGGGGATAGGCGTCCCTGAAGTCCTTCAGCTGGAGCTTCCTCTGGGTCAGCCGGGACCGGGCCAACTCCATAAACACCTGCCAGGACAGAGCAGGGACAAACAGTGACTGACTCCACTTAAACTGAGTCACAATAATGAAATAAAATAATAATAATAATAAATGATGTTCTTTTTCCTGCCGCTGATGTTACCTTGTGCTTGAGAAGAACAATGAGCTGAGAGCGAAGGATGAGGCCGCAGAGCTTCGCTGGCTGAATGAGAGAAGAACAGAAGACCCAGGTGTTGTCAGCTACAAAAATGTCATTTTTGGAGAGACACCAAAACTACATTTGCTGCTGCTGTCAAACTCCACAGCACCAGCACTAGAAATATATCAACCTGACCATACACTGTCAGAAAATGAGAAATATCAGTGTTAAAGTGTTTTACATTGTAACCCCAATGACTAGTTTTCAATCCACCATCAGGTAGATATGTACGAACCATGGGTGGATTACTATTAAAATATGATAATTTTCTTTATGATTAGTCAGTTTATTTCTCAAAACAAATAGAACTTAAGCCATCATACAGCACCTCGTCACTACCAGCAACCTGCGCGACAACTGGGAAGCCGTTGTGATTTGTAGATGTGTTGCTAAGGACGTCCACGATGGTTCCCACCTTCTCTATCTGGTTCAAACAAGTGACTGGAGAACTCATCACCTCTCTGCATGTGGGGGTAGGAGGGGTAAGTAGGGAGAGGGACAGAGGGACAGTGAGGATGACAATGGTGAAACAAACAGAGGTGACAAGGAGGGAAAATAGCAGGAAAGACAAAATCATAGTTCACTTAATTCTTTACAAGAAGGAATATATGTTTCAAAAGAACATTGAACGCAGAGTAAACACTACACCAACAGCTACTTGAATCTATCAACAAACAGAAGCACGCCAGCGGCAAACAGAAAGGACCTTACCTGGCGGTCAGCCAGTGGGAGGTAGCAGGAGCCTCCCAGTGCAGGAAGGGAACGCTCTGCAGCTTAATGTGGATATCATACAGACCCTGAAGCAGGAAGAGACAGGTTACAGTCTGTGTCCAGAATGCACTATGTACTTATCTTGTACAAGAAATCAACATACTTCACCGTTTCGTACTAACAAGAAATTCAACTATATGTGCTCCATCAGACATCAGTCACACTGTGACTTTATGACACTGAAGATTAAACTTTACACAAAAGAGAAATGATAAGGTATTTCAAACTATTCAATACTTTATTCCTTTTTTTGTTTTTAATCTCTCAAAAGCTGTTACACCACCACTTATTATATGATTTTGTAGCTGTAAGTAGCTCCTCTTTTTCCTCTGTGGACTGTATTGTGTCTGTTATCAACAGCACACTCAAAAATCAAGCTTTTATGTATGAATACTGACATTTTTGAGTAGTCTGAATGTACATCGTGAAAACCTGCTGAGAATTAGAGTGTTAGTATGAATTTGGGACACAACTACACTGTTTGTATCTCCATACCGTCTTCTGCTTATGAAAAGCTGTGGGACTTTGAGTTTGTTGGCTTCTTTCTGTACTGAATTCTGTGGTGAGTGATACTAAATCAGGGGTTTCTGTTAACTATTGCACACAGAAGGAGGCAGGAACACGGTGTGTACCTCTTAACTCACCTCTACAAAGTAGTCTCCCACTATCTTGGCGGTCATGAGGACAAGCATGATGGGAAGGCCGTATGTGACATTTCCTGTAGCTTCCACCATGATGACAGTCAAACTGAGAGTCATCCTCACAATGCCCCCTGTGGAGAACAGTGCCTTTTACTGGTAGCATAACTTTTATCTTAATTTACCAGAACAGATACTGTATATAAATATGGATTATCTAAAAAAAAGAGATTAAGTCTGTTAGAATTGAAAAGACAATTTGTGATTATTGATATCTCTCAAGAGGTTGTGCACAAGTCACTGTGCTCATTACAATATGGTCCATTTCTTGTTTCCTATTAAGCACTAAAAAATTTTAAAAAAAAGTTACTCACCTAACTGAGCTGCAGCTCCAATTAGGGCATATTTACCAGGGTTGGCCCAGGTCTAACAAAACACACAAAGCAAAGTCAAACTAATCTGTAATATTAGTTGAATTTAAGAGGAAGTCATCTACTCAACACTTCAAAAATCCACTTCTTCATCCTTTATTTTTTTTATTTCCAGGCAGGGAAAACAGTTACAGTCGTCACGTTCAGCTGTGTTGAGGATTGGGAAGAGTTGCCCTTAAAACTGTGTGTGTATTGGTTATGTTGGTAACTGTGTGTGTGTGGTTACTGCAGAGCCATGTTGGTTTACTAAAGCTGGAGTTTGTAAAGGCGACATTCAGCTGTGACGATAAGTGTGGATGCAAGCTGAAACAGTGAACTGAAGTAAGTGAATGGTCAGAACAAGACAGCATGCACAGTTTCTCACAATATGTAAAACACTTCACACACTCACACAAAGTGAGCCTTGGAGCTGAGCAGAAGAGACGTTAAGGGAGGATAAGTTTAGTGAACCTACCACCATCAAGTTTATCAAGGTCAGTCAGGCCAGAGTGCCGCATGTATTTTTATCTAGTATTTAGACGTTAATAAATCAATCTCACTCATGTTGAGAAGGTGGTAAAATCATCTGTATTGAAGGGAAACCAGCAGAATTGTTTTCACAACATATAACAGCAAGAGGCAACCGCTATTTCAGAACAAGGAGTTATTGTCCTATAGATAGTGGGGGATGGTCAGGTGAAAAAACTACCATTTTCAACATGTTTCACTTCTTCAGGAAACCCGAAAAGAAATGCACACAAAGCAACATCAGTCTCAAACACCAATGGTATTAGGAGTTATGGAAATTGTGGTCTTAAGTTTGAGAAACCACACTGGCATCAGAGCGAAACTACCAACTGTTTTAAACATGGCCTCATTAATTAAAGCCAAGTCAAATTCGACCATAATATGGTTTGCAACACAGGAACTCAAAGGTCTCGTCTTGTCCACATCCTACAGAGCGAAGCAGAATGCACGCACACTAACCGAGTCATTGCCGGTGATGGATGCCAGCAGTATTCCACACAATCTTCCCCAGGCGGCACCTATTAGCAGAGATGGGATGAAGACTCCGGCAGACACCGCCAGGCCGTAGGTCCAACACGCCAGGAAGAAATAAGTGAGAGTGAACACACCCAGGGTCAAGGGATTGTATGTCCCTTAAAGAAATAGAGGGGTGAGAGGTAAAGTAAGAAAAGGATAAGTGAGCACAATGATGTTTTTTATTCTTTATTACCCCTTTTCCTTTACTTGGACCAATTTACAGACTAAAGGAAGAAGAAATGGCTGGTGCACATGTTTTTACATAATTATCTTAGCAAGACTGACTCAAGAACAGCTTTTACCTGGCTGGTTGTGGAAGAGACTACGGACACTTTTCTCAGGAGTGTTGAAGAAGGCCGTTGCCATTGAGTTATACTCCCCATCTGCACAGAACAACTTAAGAGAGGCAAAGAGAGAAGAGAAAATGATAAGAGTGGCACATCAACAGAAAGAAGATGAGCCACAAAGACCCTTCCTTCCTGTTTTTGTGTCCTTACTGAAGCTTTTACATGCTATCTACCAGCTAACTTATAATTCTAAAAGGAAGGGCATTAAGACAGATGGAGAATTGCCACATTCATGCATCATTCCCATCTCAAATCTGTCTAATAAAAGGTGATCTTTAAATACTAGCAAACCAAGATATGTTAATATTTAAATCTAGCATTACCTCTATTATTACCAAGTTTAATGGTAAGCCACCCAGCTGTTGAGATGCTCAAAACCACAAACATCAACCTCAGTGATGGCAGGGGATCCCCAAACAGATGGTTTTCAGACTGCTGACAAAGGTCACGTATGTCGGAGGAGTGTGTGTACCTGCAGTGGGTACTCCTCATTGTGATCTGGCCCCAGAGGCTGACAGTCATTGGAGAAGTAGATCATGGTGAATGACACTGTCGCAGTCACTGCAGCAACCAACATGGCCTCCATCACTTGCAAACAAGGGCGATGGACATACCTGTAAACACACACACAGGAATTTTCAAATCCTACACATAATGGTTTTAATCACTCGGAAACCTCCAAAATGCTGATGTATTGTCAGCCTCAGTAAGGACTTTCCCAAGTGACAAGGCAACTCTGGGTGCAATAAAATCAGCTGAGTGGAAAACAAAGCTTCTCAACCATTTTGTGTCTTCAGGCTATGTGGTTCTATAAATGTCAAATGGAGTGCAATTATTGTTACAAAATGCAGCACAAATACAGACTTTATCCTTACTCACTGTCAGATGACAGAGGAGTTATTTTAGAAGCAGGATGGCCTTGACAGGTACTGAATATAATATACTGAGCAAATATCACATATATCGTTTTATTTAACAACAGTTTTGCTAAACTGAAGTTATCACTATATTGATGATTCATTGTTGAACTGATTAATAAGGGATTATCATAGATGCATCGTCTAAACAGGTACACATGGACTTGATTACTATGTAAAGATGGATTCTACAGATTATAGCTACACAAAATGTGGTGCTTTTGTTTCCTCCTGGATTTTAGATGAGAAGCTTCTCTATAAGGCCTCTCCGTGTAGGTTAAACTCAGCTCACTCACTAGATCATGATTAGGTAGGCACACTCCAATACGCTGTTTGCAGTCACTAGACTGGACAAGATGGAGGAAAGCCCGTACGGTGGTAGTTACTGGTTACTTATTGTGTCGTCCCAGTCAACATGTGACGTCAGGAATCACCCAATTCATTCTTAAATTATGGCTAAAAACAGATTATTTTGACCTTTGAGTCAAAAGTGTCACCTGTTCAGCATCTGACCAACTGTGTAATCCGATCCCAACCTGCCCTTCTGGTCCTGAGTTAGTGTTGAATAGAAGAATACTTCCCCCCCCCCCCAAGACATTGATTATGTAATTATTAATTATGTCACAGTGAAGTTGATCTTTGACCTTTTGGGTAAAAACATTTTCATCACTTCATTGTTATATAGCCCATTAAACATCTGTGTCAGAAGTGTCATAATAAATGATAAGTGTCACCAATTTGTTGTCCAACCAACTGTGAATATGGTCGTAATTCTTGAGTTATGGCCAAAGCAGTGTTTTGTGAGTTCACAGTGACCTTAACCTTTGACCAACAAATTCTAATCAGTTCATCCTTGAGTGCAAGTGGACGTTCGTGCCACATTTAAAGAAATTCCTTAGATATTGAATTATTAAGAATGGTACGGACAGACAATATCGCAAAGCATCTAATGCCGTTTTGAATTTGATTTGAATTGTTTAAATAGCTTGCTGTACCATTATCATGAAATATGCACATCTGCCATATAGCAACCAGACAAGAAAGCAGGAAGCATGCATATCTCAGCAGAAGTCTCCTCCCAGATCAGTCAGTCTCCCAGTGATCGTACCTGTTTGTACTGTAAAATTATTTTTAAACACATCAATCACAAGGTGCTGACATTCTGAGAAACTGTTTTAAGTGCTCATCTGAAAACTTCCCCGTCTTGCACCCCACCCTGTCTTTGACAGGCAGCCACAAAATCTTCATGTTTCCATGGGTTGTTTTTCTCAGCACACACATAAAGCAGTTCTCATGTCACCTGACCCTTTGTCGACACTATTTGTTTTGTTCTCATAAAGATTTGATCCCTTTGTATAAATTACCTGATCCTGAAGATGGTCAGCCAGTAGTTGAGAACGTTGAACAGAGCTCCCAGCAATCCACCTGCACATTGTCAAGTAAATATTTTCAAACATGAAAAACTTACTGGTGTGGAAAAACCTAAATTCTCATTAACTTGGCACTTCCTGTGCTCTTCTTCTTCTATCCCCTACTGAATTACCTTGTATTGATTGCACTTTTTGTTAAATCTAACGTCTTTCCCGAGGTATTTACCCCATTGATGCGATGTGTGCCATTAGCGCTTACTAGCATTTATTGCTGCTTTTATTAATATGTATTGTCAGTTGTAGATCTTGTGCTGTATTTTATGCTCTGTTAATGACTGTATGTTGTTCCTCAAATGTAAGTCGCTTTGGATAAAAGCATCTGCCAAATGAGTAAATGTAAAACTGCAGTAACACAATCAAACATAATGTTAAATGTCAAGTGGCACCACGCGTGTGTCATGAATCAGTGAATCATAAACATATAAAGAAACATATAAAGACATATTTCCAGAGGAGACATAAAATAGTTTTTACCTATGGCTCCCATAGCGATGAACAAGGGAATCTCGTAGAGGTTATAGGCTACACTCTGAAAAAGGACAAAATGACATCATGTCATCTTTTACACTGACTAACAAACAACATAAAGCTGGAAAAATACTTTAAAAGTTTCTCACATCATTCTCAAAGCGTCCAAAGTTGATGAGACCCGGGCTGGAAAGGTCTCCTGGTTTGTTGTGATAGATACTGAGGAAGAAGTTCAGGGTGAAGGTAGAGATCATGGAGGCAAAGAACTGCAAAATGAGAAAGAAACAAATTTAGGACAACATTCCCCATTAACCATTCTCATATATCAACCAACAGCATGACACAATGAGTTTATGCCAGGTGTGCACACAGGACTACGTGACTCACTATCCTCCATGTCAGCATCTGGTTCCAGAAAGAAGCTCCTTCCTCTAGAGAGAAAAGAACGCCGCCTGTCGACCAGAGACCAAAATCAAAATCAAGTCAAGTCAAGTACCACCGCACATTTTAACCAAATAATCCCTTTATGCCATGAGCGATCCATTCCCTGATGCCAAGTTAGCTGTTACCACCACATGGCATCCTCCACATAGTGCGCTGATTGATTGATTGATTAGTGCGCAGTGGAAGCAGAACACTTGCTGGGTTCAACTGCAAGCACTGTTTTCAAAAGAAGGCAACGCGTAACAGATCGAGACACCATTTGTGAACCATTTCCACACTACAGGTGAACATTTCTGCAGGACAAAAACCCTTTACATGTACAAGCCAGCCTTTCACAACAAGCAGCCATTAACAAGCTAGATCAGGTATGTTGGGTTGATGGCAGGCACACAATAAACGGTCAAACTAATCCCGCTTTTGGTTTACAGATGTGTAACGTCTCCTGACAGCCTACAATCAGATCCAAAACATTTTTCACTTGCGGGAAACAAAGTTTATCTCCTTGCTGCAACAACGATTGCCTTGGCTTAACTCGTGTGGCTCTCACACCATCCGTTCAATATCCTCTCATTGTTCCTGTGTTTGTGTCTGTTGCGGAGGTTTCATGCTGTACCATTATGACAATCAGCTAAGAATCCCGCATTCATTGAAGGGGTACTATCTGCAGTGGAAAATGAAATTGTGGAAAGTACATCGTACAATAAGCAGTTCGAGTTGAGCCGAGCCGTACCATGCAGTGGAAATGAGGCTTTTGTGTTTGGGCATGCAGCCATACTGTTTGAATGTTGGCTTCATAGCAGCTAACCTGCCCACACAACTAAGGCAGATTAATAACAAAGACCATGTTTATACTGGGTTCTGGTAAGGTTACTGTGTTTTTTACCGACTGGTGCTCCAAAAGCAGCTGAAACTCCGGCAGCAGCTCCAGCAGACACAAAGTCCCGTTTTTCTGTGTCTCTCCGGAAGTATTCAAAGATCTACAAACACACACACACACACACACACACTTATTATTATTATTACTAGTTATAAATCATTCTTACTCACAACCAAACTTTAACCATAGGAAATTAAAAGTAACTCCAATTAAAAAGGAAAAATATGATTGTAATCCAATTTGAAACCTTGCTGCTATTGAGTAGAAACTCACTACACACACTGACCTTGAAGTCTCTCTTTAAAGAGGTGCTCCTGCCCTGGGAGACTCCTGCAGCTACAACAGCACCAGAGTGAATCATGGGCCCTTCCTAAATTATTGTGGGCAAACAAGAGACCGGGTATGAAAGGGAGTTATACAGTAAGTCAGCCCATACGGCATTTAATGGAAATTATTAAAATCAATTGTATATAGTGTTCACTGAAGGTTAAATGTTTACCTTTCCGACAGCAAGACCACCAACCACTGAGCAGATGACACCGCATACTTTCACCAACAGCGTCTGTGGAGGACAAACACAACATGTTAAGTATATTAAAGTCGTTCTTGTTCAAGTACATCTACTGGTGTGTGTGTGTGTGTGTGTGTGTGTGTGTGTGTGTGTGTGTGTGTGTGTGTGTGTGTGTGTGTTTTATACATCTGTACCTTGAGTCGTACCACCCTGGGAATTTTGACTCCATTTAGGTAACATTTTATCTGGGGAATACCACTTCCTGCTGCTATGGGCTGGATGAGAAAAAGGAGAGGCGTGGGGGTTCAAGACGGGTGGGATAAAGAATGTGAGAAGGAGAGGAGAGTTATATTGAGGGAACACATTGAGGCCGACAATATTTATGATTACAGTGAGTGATATCTGTGATTGGAGAATAGTGTTGGTGCTTACATATTCATAATGAAACAATCTCGTTATCACATGATCTGACATTCAACAGCGGACAGAGCAAGCTTTGTGTGAATAAAAATCCCGACTGAACCACTTCTCGGATCAGTCTGGTCGCAGGAGGGAACTTAATGTCATGTTAAAAACCTCAGCTGCCCACCTACTAAACTGCGGCTAACAAGAATAGAGAAGCACATTCATCTTTTCAAATTTTCAGTATTATGCACAATTGGTAATAATATTGCCCAATTAGTTTTCACTTCCACGTGTTTAATTCAAACATGTAACTGACTGAACAAAACGCTATTACGACGTACTTCCTCTCTGTGCAGTCTCTCACACTCGAGGAACACACAAAAGAAGAAAACTACCGACACACAGACAGGAATTGTGTTTCCAAACCAAAGGTCATGAGAATTACCAAATGGTAACATAATTCCTCCTTCAGTCTTACCTCAAAACATGCAACCAGGATGGCTCCCACCATGACAAAGGCAGAGTTGAAGACAGCCCAGAGGATGAGAGAGATGGACAGGCCGCCCACCTCTGTAAACTTCTCTATGTCTGGGAGGGGTCAGAGGTCAAGGAAAGACCTTAAAGCACATGGCTGAAATCAGCCAAACATAGCCACACTGTTTGGCGAGCATGTATAATGTTTCTGTAGCTCTCATATGAACAACAAATTTAAGATGGAGGGTGAAGACATTAACACCATTTAGATGATAGTTATGACTGTAAGGTTGAATAACCATTGTCCACTCTGGCACATAACAAATGCTACTCTTTTTTTTAACAACACATCTAGCAAATAACTGAATTTTGTAACTGCCTTAGGACAAAATAGTTTCTGGCCATTCCTGCAAAAAGCCATACAAGTTAAAGAAATTTTTATTATGAACACTGAAGATGCTAGATATATTGCCTGAGAATTACAGTTACATCCTGCAAACTATCAAAAATGCAAAAACAGCCTGTGCATCCCGTACAACTCTTCAGGATACTTTCTTTGACCACTTGGTATTTTATCCCAGCCAGTTCCTCCACCACGATGTCTATGAAACAGGCAATGAGCCCAGTAAGAAAGCCGATTAGACCACAGACCACCCAGCGGCTGATCTCCAGACAGCGGAAACCCTAACAACACAAGGTGAGAGAAGGAAGGGAGAAGAGGACAGGAGACAAAGCAGGGAGAGATAACACATGATAATAGCAAAATGAATTTTTTGAAAAATTTAAACACAGCAAAATAGTCTGGTAGGGTAACATAAATTTGGGTGACTCTCATTCCACTTGCCATGTAACTCATCCTCCTCTCCTCCTCCAGAAACAGCTGGTTCTCAATGTTATCATAGTCCAGACTCTGGGTTAACAAAACAAACACACACACACAATAAATCAGTCAAATAAAGACTATGGCGATGATGTTAACTTCTGTTCTTCGTGATAAACAAAGATCCTGAAAATGTGACAAAGATGTGTGTGTACATATCCTTAAAAGATGATTTTATCAATTGTTTCAAGCCTGCTTAAGAAGATTATTTCCCCTTTTTCTATATTGGTGTTACCGACTCATTTTACAGTTTTATTTACTTTAATTAGCAATACCGGGGGGTTGTCAAATATAATACAAGATTTTCAGAATCATCTAATAATCAAAATTATGTTTGTTTTACCTCAAACTTAAGCGACAGCAGCTTCTCATTATGAGGGATCTCTTTAGGTCTCCCCCTGAGAGAGTCCTTCAGGGAAAAACACAGAAACAACAGAGGTCACCACACTAACACTGACCTCTAACCAATTCCATCACGTGAGGGAGCTGGGAATCACCAATCCACAAGCATTTGAAACAACATGAGAAAGATATATATATATATTTTTTTTTTATCTAAAAGGTCATTTCAGAAGAAAATTAAAAGATGGGTTTCACAGGTTTGACAGACTTTACCTAACTTATATTCTGAAGCATTAATAATGAGGTGGATGCAAGATGAAGTGACGCACCCGTGTATCCTCCAAAACATTCAGCATTACAATACCCAAAGCTAAGGAGGAGGGATATTGTTGTAGGCATGTTTTTTTTCCCCAACTAGCAGGCTATTTAGTGTTGAAGAGCACACTTGTGCAAAAGAGTGCATTCTGACACACATACAAGTCGGCTATAGGCAATTCGAAAGCAATTTAAGCTATTTACATGAAACAGCGAACATTCACATAAGTAACCTTCTGTTTACAGCACACAACAATCAAGAGAATCACATGCACAAAATCACATTTCCATCAGCCAGAAAAAAATGAAGGTCAAGGAAAACGGATGTGATGTCCTATTAAGCTAATTGTCAGCCTCATGCATCATAGTCCTGTACTGGTTACCACTGACTGTGGCTAAAGCTTTTGATTATTTTCTTGGGTCATTGAGCGCATCTCAAATGCTGAATTTAACTGGCTTATTGTAATTTTTGGGGCCATTTATAAGAATTGTTATTGCCTGCCTTACTTTAACTGTGCTAAGAGCTATGAAATCACATTTGATTAAACCTGACTCTCAGCTAATTCAAACAACATGCTTTCACATTTACAGCAGGAGGGTTTTGATAAGGTCTTGGCCAAACTGCCTGTTGCTCTGTACTTTCTGGTTTTTTTTTTTTGTTTTTTTTTTTTTTAAACAGTGACCAGTGTGTGGAATTTATCAGTTACTGAATGGTTGAACGTACAGGGTCAGGCACATTATCAAACACATGGCCTGCATCAATTCATCATTTGCACAGCAACACGGTGGAAAACATCACAGTTTCCGAACATGTGACTTTTATGCAGACGGGATGAGTCAACTGTCACTGTGCTGATCTAACAGTGGGTAATTTCTGTGTCAGGTTTCCAACCCTGGGCTTATGTTAAATCAAATAAAAATACCAATACGCTTAACTTTATCTCAAGTTGCCTCTTACAAATCAGGCCTTAAGGCTCTGTGTGTACATAAACTGAGCATGAGGCTAAATCAATGTACATGCCGTTTGATACTGTCTGTGTGTGTGTGTGTCTCATTTTAAGACATAACTGATCACTTTTTATTGATGTGATTGAAGATAGGTGTGGTTTTATTATTACATTGGATGAACTACACTTCAGGCTAAATCAATGTCTAAAAGAAATGCCGCTGAAGGTCATGATGAAGTGATCATCAACAGGAGTGACAGACACAGAGAGAAAGAGTGCAACGACGTTTAGAGCTCGGACTTTACCTCATCTGATGTTATCTCCTCCTCCAAATCCACCGTGCTGAGTCTGCCTATCTGAAATATACTGCCTCCTCCAGACAGCTACAGACATCACAGACATCAACAGAAATAAATATGGGCTTTGTGTAGACATTTCCAGGCTGATGTTTTAACACAGATGTTGGTATCCAACAGGGTCCGAGAAGTGTAAGAAACTAACACACCGCACGTGTCAGACGCAACACTCTTCTGACCAGTGAGAACTACACAGTCCTATTTAAGCAGAAATGCTGTAATTTGACTCACGAGAAAGTACACGTACAGGTTTAAACATTTACATTTACTTGACTAAAAATTCATCTCCTACTTCAGTATATTGACAGAAGTGCAAATAGTTTACTTCCACCTTTGGTCCTGATGGTGCAGGAAGTAACTGACTAGTCTTGGAGGCTGCATTAGAGGAAAAAGGAAGTTGGATTTTCCAGTGTTTCTATATTAGCTCGACAGACAACTTTATTCAGTCTAAAGACCACAGGTCTAATGTCTCATGACATTATCAGACTTTGATGTTGACTTAACATTATTCTGCCCTCTAACATCCATCCATCGTCAACCGCTTATCCTGCATACAGGGTCGCGAGGGGCTGGAGCCAATCCCAGCTGACATCAAGTGAAACACCCTGGACAGGTCGCCAGTCCGCCATCTAACATACTAAAATCTAAAATTTTAAAGGATTACAATAGTATCTATTACAAGCACAGATTGTTACCCTATGTATCCTGAAGTTAGATTATCATCATGACCCTTTTATAACTAACATCAGGTGAAGTTGTTTATATTATTGAATGTTACCATAAGGCTGCTAAAATAAGACAAGAAAGTAACAAGTTAGTAAGGAAGTATTAGCGTCTCAAAACTCCCTCTAATCTGATTATTGTTCTACATAACTGAATGTAATTACGTGCATCATGTAAGTTATTTCATTAACATTAATTTAATTAGACACATGCAGTTACATTGCGTCGCAAATAAAGCTCGTTGCATCTAAAAACTGCAAACATAAGTTACCATAACACATGACAACACACCCCAAAATGAAAGCTGCGCAGGCGGCAGTGCATCAAAATCCAACACAAGCGCTCGTGACACATGCAGCATTTCACGTAACCTTATAATGGTTAATAAAACATAGAATCACACAGAATCGTCTTAATGCTGCAGGAGTCCCAGCTGTAACTTAGCCACCATGCTAGCTGTACCTGTCTGGATTGTCTGGGCTGCTCCGAGCCGTTGAGCAGCGGTGTCCCTTCCCCGGCTGGCCCGGACTCCTCGGCTCGGCTGGACCACGAAACTTTCTTCGTGATGTTGGCCATGGTGGCCTCCGGTAGCTCGCCGCCCTAACAGCCCCTGAATTATTTTATGAATTGCAGTTGTTGCTGGCTAACTACTGTTATTCTTTCTCAGCTTCCCATGACCGTTCCGTCCTGTAACTCGTGACGTTTTGTAAGGCTCGCGTGAAAGGCCAAAAATACTCCGTTAGACGCGTTGGATGCTGGGATTTGTAGTTTACTATTTTGGGGGCGAAAACCGAGTGCAAAGCATAGGTGCAAAGACATCAGTGCCAACCATAGACTGTATGTAAAAATTACCACCAGGTTTGCGTTCTCCAGAGGAGGAGGAGGATGTATTCAGATCCTTTACTTAAGTCATGTAGTACTGCAATATTAAAATAAACTCCATTACAAGTACTATATTCGATTCAATTTAAAAAACTTTATTCTCTATCACATAATGATCTTCTCTGTTAAGTTCTCACATAAAACATACAACATAAAACATGCACCCATGAAAGAGTCACACAAAATTACATTTAAACCAACACAACTAATACCCTAAATAAATAAGAGCAGATGTGCAAAGCTGCATTAAATAGTAGTGTCAGTCTTTTGGCCTTGTTTAAAATGGATATTGCAGTGGATATTGCAATGAGAGAGTTTTTGTGGGTTCTCTTTTTGGCCAGAGGTGCTCTTAAGCTGTGGCCTGACGAGAGAAGCTGAAAGGAGTGGTGAAAGGGTCCTTTGTGATGGAGTCTGTCTTTTGTTTTTTACTGCATACCTGTAAAGGTCTGAAAGCTGGATTTGAGTGGTGCCAGTGATTTTGGTTGCATGTGTGATGATTCTTGTAAGTTTTTGTTGCTTTTCTGGAAGGAAGTTGTACCAGGATGCAATGTTGAATGTGAGAATTTATTTAATGAGTGACCAGTATACTGCTAGTAAAGTGTCCTGGCTGACATTACATTTACATTTATTCATTTAGCTGACACTTTTATTCAAAGTGACTTAGAATTGCTATATATGTCAGAGGTTGCACTCCTCTGAAGCAACTGATTTTCAGGGTGGATGTGTCACAGTGGGGAATTGAACCCAGGTCGTTAATACTAAAGGCGTGTGTCTTGTCCACTGCACCATCGCCACCCTAAAACATTAAAATCTTTCAGCCTTCTCAGGAGGAACATGCACTGTTGGGCCTTTTTGTAGACCCCATCTGCATGTTGTGTGAAGGACAAGTGGTGATCAATATCAGTACCCAGATATTTAAAGCTCTCGACCTGTTCCACAACCTGCCCTTTCTGCCTGAGTGGTCATATTGAAAATGATTCTTAAGTTACAGTAAATAAGCAGTATTAGCCAATAGAAATGTATTAATATATCAACAGTGGTGAAGAAGTACTCAGACCTTGTACTTAAGTAGAAATATCACAGTGTAGAAATACTCTGTTACAACTAAAGGTTCTGTTACTTCAGTACAAAAGTATTACCTTCAAAATTAACAAAAGTAAAAGTACTCATTATGCAAAATGATAACATACTGCTTGCCATCATATTGACAGAAAATACCATTGTGCCTAGCTCGGGCCTTCATTAGTGAAAGAAAAGGCCTGAGGTAGGCAGAATGGTATATTGGACAAAAACATTTGCGCCCTGCTCCCAGTAAATATGACAGCAAGAAGGATTTTATTTTGTAAAGAGCTTTGGACCTATTCACCCAGGAAAAGAATGAAACAAAATCATGTTGAGATTTACAACATTTATTCAGATAAATGTATTACACATTTCTACTGACAATCCAAAAGACACAGATATCCATATCTGCAGTCATACTGTGGCTTAAAACAAAGTTCAAAGACATCCACAAACACGTTAGAAATCAAGTGCAGCATCACTGATAAACAAGGTATTTTTCGCTCCCTTTAACTTCAATCCTGTACCTGTATAATGTTTTTTTTTAATGTCACAAGTAACATTAATAATAGGCTGTTTTATTATTTAACCTATTATGTCCGTCTAACGCTACACAGAGGAGTAGCAATTGTACAAAAAACACATTAAAGCCGCTTTTTGAAGAGTTTCATTCTGAATTACCTTTCCACTATTGGAATAGTGTGATAGCCACCCTACAAAATATAATATAAACAAATAATAATATAATATGGCATGAAAATAACAGACATTAACATTACATTTACAAGCACACTTTTATCTTGGTGGATCAAACTCAAGTTTTTATTGCATGAATCATAAACCCTGCTAATGAGCAAGACATTGTTGTGTTGATAAGTTTGCATATTTCATTTAAAGCAGTGGTCCTCAAACTGGGAGACAGGCCCCCCCAGGGAGTACGTAGAGCCACTTCAGGGGGGTCGTAGATGTTGAGCGGACCTAAAGTTGCATGAAATTGATTCATGTGGTGACATAAATAAATAATAATAAATTGCTCTGATGCTAGCAAGGCTATTTTACTGACCAGAATCTTGTTTGTTTCAATTGTCTGTTTTGTTAATGATTGATAAAAATGAAATCCACTTTTGCTGTGATGGGGGGGCATGAACTTTTTTTGGCTTCTGAAGAGGCACTTGATGCTTGAGAACCACCAGATTTAATGTGTTATAAATAAAAACTGACGGCATGCCAGTGCTTTGTTAGGTAGGATAAGATATTCGTCCAATAAAAATATACCACTGTGTGGTACACTGGAGAAATAAAAAAAATTGAATCCAAAAGAAAACATTTTTTAGAGGCAGACAAGCAAGAGACAATTAAGATTCCCTATAGAAATCATGTTTAGGAATGAAATTCTTTATTTGAATCCTCTGTAACTTTATCACACACAGTGCTCTAAACATTCACATGACACCTGCTGCACCTCCCCATGTACCTCCTTTATGTCTTCCATGCTAAGCACCACCCCTCTGGGCACACCTCTTCCTTCTGCCACCCCTTCCACCTCTGAAGAACTCAGCACCCGATTCCACACCCTGAACCCTGCCACCTGCCCAGCAAAACCCTCTGCAGGGTCAAACCCTCCACCAACAGTGTCCTGCTCCTGCCCCAGCACCACTGATCCACCTCCGGGAATCTCCCAGCCCTTTCTGAAGTTGGAGCCAGAGGAGGTGAGGCGCCGGTCACTGTAGTGCCAGAAACGTCCCTGGATGGAAGACCAGAGGACGCAGAGGTGGTGCCAGCGAGCATCCAGGAGCGATGACAGAGGGAGTCGACGATAGACAGGGTCTCCAATGACAAAGTCCACGGAGGGGGAATAAGAAGAGGCGTAGGAAGAAGGCGAGAACAGAGAGGAGGAGTAGGAGGTGTGGGAAGATGAGAGAGAAGCAGAGAAGGATGCAGATGAGGCAGAAGAGTTGCGTCCATACAGAACCAATTGGTTGTCGTTGTCATATGTGGCATACGAGAGCAGTGTGCCAACATGTAAGGCTTCCACACGGAGCCACAAACACACAGAAAGTTCAGGAAGGTCAGGGAGAGTCTGGGAGAAGGTGACATAGTTCACTGTTGAGGCCGAGGGGAAGAACAGCATGGAGTCCACATTACAGACTGAAGGCAAAGGGAGAGAGGAGATTCAATGTAATCCTACGCTGGTGCTAACAAAAAACATATCTCTGCCTTTGGCTAAAATATGGGTGAACATTATATTAAGCCACACTAAACTGTTGAAAAAGTTGAGAATGGTAATCTTTTTAATGATTAATAAATGTCCATAAAACCACTGCAACCCCAAGTAGAGGGATTAACTGTTACTTACTGATTGCATCCTTTTTGGGAACTGGTTGTGCAGGGATCTTTTGCCTCACAGGAAGCTGAAGGAGGTTGTGGATCACTGAAGGCTCTACTTTTGTGTCACTTTCTTCCCCATGTCCTCCATCCCACCTACTCACTCTAGGCTGAGAAGACTCAGACTTGGGCCGAGGGAGAACATCTGAAGCCTGGGTTTGTGGGGCCACCACTCTGGTTCTGCTCTGTCTGTCTGTGGCGAGTTCAGGATGGGTTGGATCCTGGGACAGGGGCTGGGGCGAAGAGGGGTGATTGGGGTTGTGTAACTCAGGGTGTCTCTGATGGGATCGCTCTTGGAACTGGGGCTGGATCTGGGCATGAAGATAAGGCGCAGTGTGGTGTGACTGGAGCTGCTCATGGTGGATAGGGTAAGGCCTTGTCTGAGCCTGAACATGGTTTTGTGACTGGGGACGGTAAAGGTCAGGCTGAGGCAAGTAATCTGTGGACTGGGATTTAGGGTTTAGATACTGGGCTTGTATCTGTGAATGAGATTCTGGATGAGGTCTTGTCTTCTGGGCCTTTGAATGTTTAGGCTGCTTTGGTGTCACCTGGAACAGATAGGGCTGTGGGGTTTTGCTGCTCTGAGCTGTGGCCTGTGAATGATCATCAGTCTGGGAATAGCTGATACCCTCTGGTCTAGATTGGGTTTGTCCATCCAGAATCCTTCCAGGCCTCCCACCTCTATGTGTCTGGCTTCTCCTGCGTGGTTCATAGTATTCCTGAGGTGTGTTGTTGGAGTTGAGGGTTTCTCCCGTCCTCCACGGCCCTCTGTTGTTCCCTCTTTCATTCCCCTGCAGGACCTCACCGAGTCGGCCTTCTAGCCGGTTCACTCGCAGCGCCTGTTTTTTTAGGGATTCTTGCAACCCCTTCAGCCCCACAAGCAGCTCATCGCGCTGGACCTGAAGGGCGGCCAGCCTTTCCTCTTGGCTCTGCAGCTCCAGGGTGAGGTTGGAGAAGTCCTGACCTGAATCAGGCTTCTGTTTCTGGGCGTGGCGGCGGTTCTCCCTTAGGCTCCTCTCCATCAATGCCAGACGACCCTCCATTCGCTTACTCTTCTTCTCGAGCTTCCTCCCCCACTCTCTGGGATGATAATCAACATGAGTTTCTCAATTTGTTGAAAGATTTTATATTTCACAATACATTGCAAATGCAATTTTAAATGTATGTCAGCAGGTTGGATTACTTCAAATGTGGAAAAAATAGAATATTTGTAATGCACGTGAACAAATGTATCCAAGGAATGATGAAATGAAAAGCTGTTCTGTTAATCATGTATTCCCAACCTCCCACAAAGAACAGATGCTAAAAGGAAAAGCCTCCCACTCAACACATTTGCACCCGGGCTCTAACCTGAGACCCTCGATCTCCTGTGTTGTGCTCT